CATGACTGAAAATGAACCTGAAGGAGACTCAGGTGATGTTTAGCAAAAACATATCAGCCTGTCGAAATAAATCAACTAAGGATTGTACAAATCCAAATATATGTTTATCAGGGTCAGTTGAGCTTTGCGATAGAGAATAGCATAATAAATTGAGCATAGTTGAAAAGATGTTGTTTACTGAGATCATCACCTTCAGTCGTTTGCATACGCAATGTGTAATTTCAGCGTTAATCACAGCTTTCCAAAATTTAGCTATGAACCACCGATTAGTGCTTCGCAGAAACAAATATTTCCCTGCAAAAGTCGATCATTTTTCACTCTGTTCGTACAAGTTGCATGCTAGACATCTAGTCAACGTCTGCAACCGTCAACCCCTGTTTGGGTTCCAACATAAATATCTTACGAACTGGAGAAAATAGTAGTTTCTCAATCAGTTTGTCTAAAGGGCCATTCTTACGTCTTTAAGCACTGCATCTATTGCCCGGAAGAAAATAGAGTCATTCCTTACGTGGTCTTACCATTTAACCCTTATTATACGTAGAAGTCAACGCTGTTCAAACCAGCTGAAGTGTTGTTCTTGCTCGTTCATTAGAACAACTGTCTCCAAGCCGTACAACCACGCTGACCTGACAAATGCAAGGTATGGGCGAATTTTTGAGGAAAGAGTAGCTCATTTCTAGGCCAAATACTGGGCAGGTATCCAAAAGCACTTGAAATTATGTAGATACTCCTATATAACTCTGGCTAGATAACAACTTCGTTGGAAAAAAAATGGAGTTGAGACACTAAAACTTGTTAACATCCTAAAGGGCTCCACCTCGATGTGCACTAGTTGCTCAGTTGTGGCGAATGGGTTGCTCAAAAAATGTTTGACATCCAAGCGTCAAAAAAGAAGCTGGCTATTGCAGCTCTGTTATATGAGTGACAGAGCTGGCTTATCGCACTATTCAGCAGAACGATATCCTCTACGTATTCAGTACAGTTTCGACAGAAAGACACCTAGCCGGAAATCTTCAGCAGCACTATCTCTGTAAAATGAGACCTTCGTGCTTGCCAGGGTGACCACTGTTTCAAGAACGAAAGCCTAGAAATGTTAAACGACAAAGGCGACGGCACATCTTCCTGGCAAAATCCATAGTTAAAAAGGAACCATTCAGGCAGCTCGCATTCAACTTTGACAACAGACACTACTTCCTGCATATATGTCTTCCAAAATAGAAACGAATGATCAGATATCCTATCGCGTTTAAAATTTTTTCACATTGTTTGACGATATACTGAATGAAACGCAAACTAAAAGTCAAAGAAACTGGCAAACCAAGACAACTAGAGTGGCCAACTTTGCTCAGTGGTACTACGCTGAGTGAAAGTTTGTTGGAACAAGAGTAACGCGTTCAGAAGATTACTTGATTAGGGAAAGTCTCGAGAATATTGCGTGTCTCAGCATTTCCAAACTGGTCCAAGAGAATAGTTTTCCAGCAATGCAATGTCATGATAATCTGAACGCTCGGTCGCCCGACCCACCTTATATTTGCATCTTTTGTCGTGCAGTTACTCAATACCTTGGTTCTTCCGGGAGACACTTAGAGAAG